ATTCGAAATCTAATTTAGAACGTAGAAAGCGAGTGCCACGAAAGAGCAGTGGATTTGTTGAAGTCTGCGCAAGGCACAGTGCGCCTTGTTGTTCGTTATACTCCTCGACTTCTCGACGAAATGGAACGGTAGGTTTTAAATGCTACGATATTAAAATTTACTATACTTGCTGACGATGCTTTTCATGCCTCATCAGAAAAAGTTGTCCAATAGTACGGAGAGCTTACTTTCACTAATTTCATGTGTTCTAGACGTTTTGAGAGGCAACGAAGACGTTTGAATCAACCTAGTCCTGGGCCACCACTTCCACCAGTCAGGCGCTGATCTTTATTTTTAAAAGTTTTCTCCTGATGAACGTGGGCTATACTGCAGGAATGATCGAACTTTCCTGTTCTCATATATTTCACTGTTGTTATTTCCCCAATCTCAGGCGTTGCCACACCATGGAAGCTTTCATTGATCATCCAGCATTGTTATTCTCAAAAATTTTATGGACTTGGAAGATCAGGAACAATATCTCTGCTTTTATCATCATAAGTACTATTTGAAAACAAATCTCAACTGCTACACACTCTAGTCAACAGGAGCATGACCTTTTAATACTTTCACCTCTATAGATCGCATAGTAAAATATATACGATTAATATTTGTCTGCTATTTATCGTACTTCACTATTAAGATTTTCACTCTGTACTGCATTTACTCATACAAGTTGCTCTGCTCTACTGGCAAATATCCCAGCACAAATTTTCCACAATCAGTGCTTGTTGTATGTACTAGTTGAAAAACAAAATTAAGTTGTCCAGTTTGGGTACTATTTGCTACGTGAGTTTGTAAACAACGTGTATTAGCTATAAGCAAAACGTCATTATTTCATATTCTGTTCTTCAATCCCTATAGTTTGTTTGACTTCACATTACTCTACCCTATTTTTCAACTAATATACAATAAATTCCTCATTTTATTTGTTGTGTTTTTGGATGCACTGTCTGAATCCATGTATTTTGCCCTTTACTTTGCGTTAATTTTTCTCCCCACTTTTTGTTCGAGTATGCGTTTTCATGTAAATACTCAGTTATCGTCGGCGATGTTACGATCAACGAGACTACCCGCTCGAATCGCCCCTATTCTCTCTCGAAATTATTGTACAAGTAGCAGTCTCAAACCTTTGACATCTGAAGACATCAGAGTAACAGAAAGAGCGCAACAGCGATTGAAGGTGTAACAATCCTTCTGTGGCTGCTCCTACCACTAATGCTTCTGCTTTTAGGAGGTACTTTCACAAGGTGAACGATTACGAGTGGAAGTAGACGGCGGTGGTTGTTCTGGGTTTGAGTACAAAATTAAACTTGACAAAAAATTGCAAAACGATGACAGGCTGTGGAAACGGGATAATGTGGAAATTGTTGTTGATGAAGTGAGTTGAAATATCCCATTGATCTTTTCATATTTGGCTTTTTGAACTACTAGTCTTGTCTAGAGGACATGGTTATGATAAGCAGTTAATACTAGCCAGTGGGATTTGCGCTAAACCATGCATAGCTTCCAGTCTTATTCCTCCATTGTTGGACAATTACGCAAGGATGCAAACTTTGATTTGCGCAA